GTGTGTGTGTGTGTGTGTGTGTGTACTTAAAAAGCATGTAGCATACAAATATCTCAACGTTTTAATGTGACAAAATGTGAAAACCTTCAAGCGCTGTGAATGAAAACTTTTACATCAACAAACAGAGAAGTTTATTATAGTTTGATACATTTTCTTCATAACAAACACTTGGCGACCTTTTGAGCTTGGTTTGTTCACCTAAAATGTATAATTATTTAAAATAAAGAATTAACTCAGTTTTTGTAAAAAAAAAAAAAAAAAAAGTTCATGAAATCCACAAAGTTCTTAAAGAACTCAATGCTACACTAGTCTGTGTGTGTCATTTGTGACAAGTTTTCAGTCTTTCTTATAGTTCCTCTTTTAAACAGAACAGTTATTATTTTGTTTTGCAATATCTGAGCACTAAGCCAAAGACAGAGCTCAGTTCATCTCCTCCAAAAATCAGACACAATGGCTTTGGCAGTTATTTATCTTCCTCTCTGTCAGACTGTATATAAACTCTGAATTAACTCATAGTTTTTCCAAATTACATTTTCATATTCCTATGGATTGGTTTCTGTACAGTAATGAATGTTCAGTATGTTCTGTGTTAGAGTATAGTGTACAATAAATGACTAAATTGAGGAATAGACTTTTTAGGTGCCACGTTGTGGCCATTATTAAATTTGTTCATGGAGTTGAAATAAAACATGAGGCTCTAAAGCTGTTTTGTAATCCTACAGCGCGTCTGCATGTATACTGTAGCTTGTAACAGTGTTCATGAATAACTTAAATTCTAAAATGCATGACATGTAATTACCGAAACTGGTTACATACAAGTGGATACCAAAAATTACTTTTATATTTTACCTTTTCTGTCTCTACTCTTTCCCCATGGTTTCCTTGTTTGTCCTCTTTAGGAAAAAGCTTCACTCTCACGATCACAGTGTTCACCAACCCTCCCCAAGTCGCTACATATCAAAGAGCTATCAAAATCACAGTGGATGGTCCCAGAGAGCCACGACGTGAGTAACCCTTACTTACATAAATTCATTGGAGTAGGGGTGCATCAATCGCAGTTTTTTGGCCAATCGCCAGTCACCAATCTTTAAAAAGCCTGGCCTGCCGAGTCGATTTTGGCCAATACCTTCTTTTTTTTTTTATCCGAAATGTCACTGAATATGGCAAGAAAGTTGCTGAGTTCACAACAGTGGGGTGACTATTGTTAACTGCAAACGTCCAGATATGATCTGGTGGGCTGGCCTGTCAGTCAAACCTCTCTCACGGGAGAGCAGAAGAGGACAGTGGTTGATTATTAGACCTTTGCTGAGTTAGACAAGATAGGGGAATAGGTTTAGCTTCACATGTAAGTATCAGCCGATCACCAATCTCCTAAAATTAAGAAATTTGGTGTTTGATGAATGTTTAAATACTGCATTTAAAACTATATTATTTCACAAAATAAATACAAGAAAACTGTCCTGATCTATTGAAGAAGCACATATTGCTGTATAATTTTTACTCACACTGTCAACTTAAAATAACTAATATTAAGTTAGAAAAATGTAAAGTCTTGATTCAATGTTTTATTAAACATTACTCTGAATTCTGCTCAAAAACTTTTCTTTCAACAGATCCTAAATAATGTGAGACTACATTGTTCTAAACCATTGGAATCTGACAGCTACATCAACATGAATCCTTTAATGAATGCACCTCAAATTATCACCATCAGTCATGGTTCAACACAGGACACATAAACGTGCAACAGTTTAAGCATATAATAACCCTGTAATCTTGTACAAATGAGGACAAAAATCATGGATCACACAAAAAGTGGATCACTTTGAAAATATCCATGAAAAAACAAGCATCACACATCATGGGACACACAGTCAGTCAGCTTTAGTCCTCAGCTTAATCCATCACCATTCCATAAACATTAAAGCACACATACTGTTTTTAAACAACCCTGGTCAAAAATAAATACTAAGCATATTAAATTTAGCATACTTGAATCCACAGTAATCATCAGTATACTTGAAGTATGTCATTTTGGAACAATTAATTTTGTGCATTTTAATACTAATTAAATCACAAAAAATCACAGTTTCAAGTATACTACGTGTATTATCGTGTGCTTTATTGGAACAACTAAAGTTATACTTTGTATGCTTCAAGTTTACATATTTTTATGTAATATAAATGTGCCTGATTAGTATATCTTAAGTGCACAATTTTTGTGATCAAATTACATTTACAATATATTTAGAATGTCTTATAAGTATATAAACATTCAATATTTTATATATTAGTAGTGTGATTACAGTATGTTACAATTGCACTTTTGGTTTATTATAATTGTTAATGAAGTACATTCTTCAGTTTCTTATCAATGTCTTTTATTATTCTGCTTCTTTGCCACTTTGTACATTAATGCTTCATAGACACCACAGTTCTGCAAACACATCAGGCTACAGTACACAGAAAGATCAATGACAACACACTTTCAAGGTGAAAACAATTACATTGTGTATTCAATATATTCACATTTTTCAAGAGTACATTGCCAATATACTATCAGAGAATTGTACAAATTGTCAGCATATTAAAAGTTTACAGACAACATGCTCATGAAAATTAACACAATAAAACATTAGTACGCTTTAGAGGAAATGTGAAAAATATTTCACCAAGGAGAACAGAGTATTGTTTTAATACAATGTCACAGTATTCCAGTATTACTGCAGACAAACTGACATTTCTCCTTCCTAAGAACAGTGAGGATCAGCGACAGAACCATTCACTGAACTTTACAGAGACCTATAAAAATAAAAATAAAACAGTAAGGCAATTAAACTGAGAAAGCACTTGTATTTTAAAGAGTACATAAAAACAGCAAAGAGAAAAGTACGACTTACAATTTTAAGACGTTGTGAACTCGCTATGTATGTGGCATCATCAGAACTGATGATGATTGGGACCAAATGGAAAGTGGAAAAACATTTCTGGGTGACTTCTTTGCCTGTTTATGTTAAAGNCACTCAGGTCATGCCCTTCTCATGTTTCCTCTGACACATTGTAATAGATTTCGCTGTTCTTCCACACCACATCTAAGTGGCCTCACCTTTCACTGAAAACAAATCAGTCCTTCCCTAAGTCTGACACACACACACCCACGCATGCACACACACTTTTTTTGACCACTACCTCCTTTTCTTCACACATTTCACATCTTTCTCTCCGTTTTCCATTTTATTCCCATCTCTGACCTTCCACATCTTTTTTCTCTCATCTGTCTCCCATGGGTGTTCTCCTCTTCCTGTTCGTCAAGCCCACCATCCTTTTCTCTCTGCTCTATCTCTCCCCTCTCTATGCCCTTCTGTAAACTCACTCTCTGCTGGTTAATGTTTTGAAACAAACAGCTTTCGACAAACACTGAAATGGGCTGGTTGTGATTTTATTCTTAATTGAAATCAATATCATTACAGCAGATAGCATATTCAGTTGCTGTGTTTTAGTTTGGTATGAAAGTATTTCATGACTGTAGTAGACTGCTTTAGAGAGAATGATTTTTAATTGGTAACCACTAAAAATATATTCCCCCTACTTTCAGTTTTGAAGGTCTGTGTTTTTAAATATTTGACCTTCATTTTCATGGTGCCAAGCATGTTCCAACTAATGTAAATTGGATATTACAAAATAAAATTATACACTTTTACTGCAGCAGAGATATCAAATAGCCAAGAAATCTCTAAAGAGAGTTTCATCAGTTTGTAATTATAATGTTATACTACAAATAATCCACTCAAAGTATTTTCCATTGATATTTTGTGTATTGGAAATGGACAACATTTAGAAATATTACATGTTAATGATTAAGAATTAATAGCATGAAAAAAATGCAAAAAATATACTATATATATATATATGTATATATATATGTATATATATATATATATATATATATATATATATATATATATATATATATATATATATGTGTGTGTGTGTGTGTGTGTGTGTGTGTGTGTGTGTGTGTGTGTGTGTGTGAAATATCCCCATTAGTGTCCAATTAACAGGAAGCAGGAGATAAATAAAAATAACAATTAAGATTGTAAAAACTCAAGAACAATTCACTCAGAATGAACTATTATATTATTTATAATATTATTTCCCCCAATTAGCCCTTGTGAAATGTACCATGTGAATTTTGAATCTTTGACTCCATGTCTGAAATCCAGTGCAAGTGAAATTTCTGCAGGTGAAATTAGATGGTGACATTAGATTTTCAATTTAAGTCTGGCCTTTTTGTTGCAGCTTTTTCCAGCTGTAACAAAAAGGCAATTTTGTCCAAGTTAGATTTTTACAAAGATCATCCAAGCCCACCCCTTAATTATGGTATCATGATTTATTTTCGGGTCAGACAGGCTGGCCTCTCTCACCTTCGTTTTGTCCAAAATGGAGCGACTCATCTTTTCACTCTTGGTCTCGATCCCACAGGCATATCACTTCTGTGCTGAGTGCTCTTCATGAGCTCCCTGTGTGCTACAGAATTGATTTCTATATTCTTATAAGAAGAATATAAAAATTTGTGAATGCTTGTGAATGTTTTAATGGCCTCGCTCCACTCTATGTCTCAGACTTGTTTCACTCGCACTCTTCACGTCCTCTAAGGTCAGCTGACCAGCTGCTCTACAGAGATGAGGCCGAAGTTCAAAAGTGACTGGACTTTTGTGGTATCAGGACCTAAGTTATAGAACCGGTATTCATGTTAGGCAGACTCCTTCACTGGCCTCTTTGAAATCCTTTTGAAGACCCATCTTTTTTCTCTAGTGTTCAATAAAGCATGAGGGTTTTTTTTCTCTGAGTTGTTGCATTATCAATCATTGTCTTCATATTATATGGAAATTACACTACCAATTTTTCCACTTTATTTTTAATTAACTTAAACTAATCAAATTAATTTGTATTTTTACTTATTCTGTGAATACAATCATATGTTTTTTTAATGTATAACTAAATTAGGATTACCAATTTAAATTATTGTTGCTTGATGTAACCTTCTAATACACTGTAACTGCAATATGGAAAAAATGTCCACAAAATTATGGAGGTACAGAAAAATTATTAAACCTCTTACTAAACAAAACTAAGAAGAAGATCTTTTAGGAACTGAAAATCGAGAAAACATAGACGTGTCTAATATTATATGTGTGTCACTGGTTTTGAGCTTTGAAATATTATATGCATAAAAACTGTCATCCTGTCAATTAAAAATAAATGGTGTCATGTAGTACAATACTGCCCTCTAGTGGTGAGTGACATATAGACAAGCTCCAGTAAACAAGGAATCGTGAAGGTTTTCTCAGCTGAATGCTGTAAGAAAATAATAAAATGGAGATCTGTTTATTTACATTAAAAAGTTTAACTGCAGTTTTCTCAACATAATAGTACTGTCATGATATTATGTTGTGTAATTCACATCTTTATGGCAATGTTTTAACAATGTTGCTTATGATCATAGTTTATTCTGCAGCAACTTCTCTTATAAAATTCTGAATGGTTTTTTGATGTTTCATGTATAGTTTCATGTATTAGGCTTCATGTTTTTAGTATAAATGTCTGAAAAAGCAAGTGGTCTAGACATATTCATGGCTAATTGGATGAAGTGACAAAAGTTTAAAATGTTTTCTACTTAAGTGGAAAGTCCACCAATAACCATTTCAGCAAAGGTGTCCCTGGTGAAAAATAAATACTAAGCATACTAAATTTAGCATACTTGAATCCACAGTAATCATCAGTATACTTGAAGTATGTCATTTTGGAACAATTAATTTTGTGCATTTTAATACTAATTAAATCACAAAAAATCAGTTTCAAGTATACTACATGTATTATCGTGTGCTTTATTGGAACAACTAAAGTTATACTTTGTATGCTTCAAGTTTACATATTTTTATGTAATATAAATGTGCCTGATTAGTATATCTTAAGTGCACAATTTTTGTGATCAAATTACATT